GGACTTAAGATCTCTTTATCATCAATTACTATTACTTATTGAAGATCAAGTGAAAATAATACTTTAAAAGTTCATTAAGATATTAAAGATTAATTCTATTATTAGAAGTTTTTTCTATTTAGTCTTAAAAATATATAAGGTAAATTCTATAAGATGATGGACTAAGTATTGATAGACTTATAATTTATTAGATGCTACATTGATGATATTATCATTTTTAGTAATAGCCCATATAATCATATGATGTATTTAAAAGCAATTTATTTGAGCAATTATAACAATGGAGATTATTTTTGTATCATAGCAAATGTAAATTCTTCCACAAATGGTTATTATAATTGAACCAAATGGCAATTCCAAGAGAAATTGGTATACAACAAGCAAAGATAGGTGCTTTACAAAAAATCTTGATACCAAGTAATATTTCATAACTTTCAATTTTTTTGGATTGATAAATTATTATTAAAAGTTTTTTAAAAACTTCATCTTGATTATTAGCCTTTAATTATTTTCATAGAAAAAGATTGATGATGAATTTGAGATTGTGAGCAACAATATAGATTTGACACTTTGAAACAAAAGTTGGATTCAATTCCAATGCTTTGATATCCAAATGTTATTAGACCTTTTCAACTACACACAAATTGGAGTGTAGTAGGGCCAAAAGTAGTATTGATATAGAAGAATGTTATAAGATGAGAATTTTTTATTGCATTTGCTTCTTGAAGTAATAACAATGTTGAGTCTAATTACTTATCTTCTAAAGGGGAAACTTGGTAATATTTTGGACCATTACTCACTTTCAACATTATTTGTATAGACAATGGTTTACATTGGTAATTGACCATCAATCTTTGAAGTAATTTATAGAGCCAAATAAGCTTATTAATAAACTTATTAAATATACTTTATTACTTAAAAAATTTGACTTTGAAGTTGTATATTAGGTAGACATTATCAATTTAGATGTAGATGGATTTTTTCATAATCAAAATCCTTTAAGAGAAGACTTAATTGGAACTTAAAAATATAAGAATTGCAATAGAAAGGTAATTTCTAGATAGCATGTATCTACATACTTAACTTTGATGTCAAGCTCTATAACTATAGTACTTGATTTAAGCTCAAATTAAGAATTTGATAGGATCTAAGTAATTAACAATGTATGCAAAGACATTGTAGTCTTGGATAAGCTTCAATAAAAAATATTTTATTCAACTATTTTTATTATAAAAAGAAATAATATTAATTATCAAATAATAATTTTTTTTTAGACTTTTTTTTTTAATAATTTTCTATGTAATCTAAAAGAACTAAAAGCATAATTCTAAAGCCATATCAAAGAGCTTCTTTGATATAGCATATATATAAAAAACTTGCATATATTTTAGGATATACATGATATATTTTATAATAGGTAAATAATATTAGTATATTAGTATTTATCAATAGATATCTATATATGCTTCTTGATGTAAATTGTGTGATTAAGTCAAGTCTAGCTTTAACACCTTATGATTTCAATTGAAGCCTTTACATATTATGGTATTGTGCTATTATTCATCTTTGGACTTTGTTGGCCCACTTGTTTTCACTCCACATAGACCTAAATATATGTAGGTGATGGTAGAACATTTCAATATATGAATTAAGCTTATAACTTTGTTATAAAATTCTTTAAAATTGACAACTATGGCTTTTCTTCATCGTGTATTAGCTTGTTTTGGAACACATGCTAAAGACTTAACAGATCAAAGAATGGAGTTCTTTAGAGATTTTGTGGCTTTACACACTAAAGCTATACTAGATCAGTTCACTAAGTCTAGATATCATTCTAAGGTAAAAAACTTAGTTGAACAGCTTGTTCAAATTATCAAGTGTGATTTATAAAAATATTAATTATTTTATTATAAACATTGTGATTGAGACTTAATATTGCTATAGATTGTAATAGATTATTGCTTTAATAAAAATACATCTTTGGCATCTTATAATTCTTATTACTTTTTGTATAGGTAAAAGCCAATCCTATCAAATTTAATATATGAAAAGCTAGCTCTAATTGTCGACTAAAATGACCTTCACATTTGAATTTAATGTCTATAAGATTGAATAGAGTTCTTTAAGAGAACTATGCCTATAGCTATAGAAAATTTATATATTAATCAATATTATGATGCCTTAACAATATACTTGCATTTGTAGAGGGGCTTATTGATATTAGTTGCATAGATTTTCTAACAAAGATTATATGTATATATAATGTAAAGTGCCTACAACAATTGGTGTTAAGACAAGGCACATAATTCTCCATGTAAAGAATATGTTGTCTAGTAGTATTTTGTTGCTTGAGGATAAAGATGGATAACAATGTCAAGAGCATTCAAAGAATTGTAATCCTTACCATCTTCCTATTGATGATTTTGTACATCTTGAATTAGCAATTTTGTCAATTGATCTTTTTTCTTTTATATGAGGTGAGAAGAAAGAGGTTGCTACCATATTTTTGTATTATCAATGTCAATGTAGGTGGCATATAGTATACCTAATATCACATCTTTTGCCTCTTACTTTAAGAGATTGGATTTTTTTTCCTTATATAAAGTCTTCCAACCATGCTTCATCTATTGATTTATTGAATATCCTTTCTTTCATGTTTGTTACACATTTTGGTGCTTTAGTTGATATACTATTAGTTTAGATGAATATAATTTTGCAACAACATTAATATGGCATTTACCTCTCATTATGTGTATTTTATTATTCTAGTTAGATAAAAGGACTCTTAATCACTATAAAAGATACTTATGAATGTATTAGTTGTGCATTTGTATTTGGTTTAAATTACATATTTTATAATTGATTTGTAGCATTTAATATATTCTATACAACAATCTTTGTTAACACAACATTTGTTATATAATGTAGCATTGAGTACCAAATCTCTTTGGATATATGTAATTTAATTTGATTTAATAGTTTTTCATCCATTTAATTTTTATTGTTAGTTGGCTTTATTAATGTCAATTAGGATTTTAATGCTTAGATAGAAAAATCTCCTTGATTTGATAATTTTGACAAGTCAAGTCTTATGAGTGATTTTGAGAGAGAAAAAGCTTATATTGTAAGGATTTACTCAGCTATGGTGATTTAGCAATTTTAATAAAGCTTTAGGATATTTTATACTCACACTTGCACTCTTGAATTTTTCCTATGTGGTGTAAGAGATAGCTTGACTTATGTGTGCAGATTCATTATCATTTCTTGAGATTGTTTTGATTGTATATTTATATTTGATTAAGATTGTATATTTTGTGGTTAATTTGTAGCACTTGATGTGTTATATGTAACAATATTTGTTTATATGTCAAAATATATAAACATATTTAGAGAGAATTCTTAAATATTACAGCTTGTATACATATAAATTAAGAAGTAGGTGAAATGTATTCTAAATATTTTTGTTTGTCTCTAAATATTAACTATGTTGTTGTAAAATGTTTCAAATTAACAAAAAAAAATGTTTCTAAGATTATTTATTTATTTATTTTTTTGTCCATAAATACTATAATTTCACTTTAGTTTGATAATTCTTATATGTAGTCTATGTGATTATATTATTGTATAAGTCTCTACTCATGAGGGTTATTTTATACCATCAAGATAAGATTGAAAAATAAAATTTTGTGTTTCAACAATTTGTTGCAGTGAATGATACAACTCATTAATATTAGACTGTGTATCACTGATTTCTTTCAAAGGTTTAATTATGTGATATCTTCAATAACACATGCTTAGAATTGCAGAATTGATTTATCATTCACAACATATAAATATATTAGAGAATATTCATTTGATAAAAAAAAAAAAAAAAAACATAAATTTTGTAACTATTTTATTTTATCTAGCTATTACTGTGCACAAGATTTTTTTACCAATAACTTTTATAACAAAAATGAGTTTATTGACGTATATATATATTTTACAAAACCAATATGTTTATTGACATATATATATATATATATATATATATATTACAAAACCAATATGTTTATCCAAAGCACAATATTGTCATACTTCAATCAAAATGATATCTCATTACTTAAAGTGACATTAATATATTTTTAGAATGTAATTCAAACCATGAATAGTCGATACATATTAAACCAAGCAGCAATTGATATATATTTTTTTTTCTTTCTTTAAGATTTAACTTAAATAGCAAGTTTGCATTACAATTACAAAAACTTAAGATTTGGTATGATATTCAAAGAATCAATTAAGAAGTTGATTTTCAAAATTATAAAAAATTGAATTTCGAATATGAGCTTGCATAATTTTATAAATAAAATAGAAGCTATACCACCTTAAATGTTTCTGACTGTTTATGAACCCTTCTTACATTTTTTTTCATATCATGATTTACTGCAAAATCTTAGTGAAAAAAATTAAAGATATCTTACTCACTCATGCAAATTCTTTTCTTTCAGTAATTCCGAATTTTACATTCTGAATTTGTGGGTACAAAGTATGTGCGGTGAATCATTTACGTCATAAAGAATTAAATGGGCACTCAGTCCAGGTTTTCTTCGAAAGCACTTCGATGTTTAGCTTGGGATAAATAATGGGAATCGCATGTAAACAATCTTTTCAAGTCAGCGTGTGTTCCCGCGTGTTATCACGCGGGTCGCGATGTGATTGGTCAAGGCCTGCAACGTCCATTTGAACGTTGCCGTTTCCCGCGGGTAGCTCCCGCGCGTACTTCACTAGTCGTAGCTCTCTTACGTCCTTCCGTCCAGAGGTTTCCCAATCTGATGCTCGTCCTGCCCGATCGACTTTCTACCGAGACCAGGTCGGTATCAAGCCATACTCGCCTACTCACCCGCTTCATTTAGTCTAGGAACCGACCAAATGCCTTGTCCACTGGCATCCACAACCCTCGATTCGGCACGGTACCTTCCCTGTCCACAGACCTACGGTTTGGTTCGAAAAAGTCCGTTTCCCGCGCCCATAACATGAAGATGGCGCGAGACTGTGTTTATAATTCAGTTTGTGCAACCTTTTCACCCCTGGCCTCTTTACACTCCATCTCCTGCTTACTCCAGGTCGATTGCGGTCACTCTGCGGACGCCGATTCTGAGCGGCAACACTGCTGCGGAAGAGGAAGGCTGACCTCCATGCATTTCTAGTTTTTGAGGTTATGAAGAAGATATGGCAGTGAGGTGATTGGTTTGTGGATTCTCGGATTTGCAGTACCGCGCTTTGGATTGAGGCAGTTGATTGGAAAGGGTGACAGTCTATCATCATGAGTGCTGTGAATGTCACCAATGTTGCAGTGCTCGATAACCCTTCCATGTTCCAGAACCCGTTTCAGTTTGAGATATCTTACGAGTGTCTCACTGCCCTTCAAGATGGTGAAAATTCTACCTCTTCACTGTTTGTCTTAATGTTTCTTGAATTTTTGATGGTACAAGATTGAACTTTGGCTGATTCGTGGGTTTGGTTACAGACCTAGAGTGGAAGCTTATATATGTCGGATCAGCTGAGGATGAGAAGTATGATCAAGTTCTGGAGAGTGTGCTCGTTGGCCCCGTGAACATTGGAAATTATCGATTTGTCCTTCAGGTACGAATTTCTCACTCATCTAAGTAGGGTCTTACTGATGGTTCACCTGTCACAGTCATAGAACCCAGAACTTGAGAGGCCTCTCGACCCTTTTTATGGATATTTCCTATGGAAGTGAGTCTAAGATGATGCCTTACTTTACGAAGATGAACAGCTGGAGTAGTTAATATATAGATGAATTCTGCGCATGCCTGAACCTCCTTGCGTTTGTTTAAACTGTTCCGATGTAAACATTTGAATTGGTATGCACAGGCGGATCCTCCGGATGTATCCAGGATCCCTGAGGAAGATGTTATTGGGGTCACTGTGTTGCTTTTGACATGCTCCTACCGAGGACAGGAATTCATACGAGTGGGCTATTACGTGAGCAATGACTACGTGGACGAATCTCTTCGCGAGGAGCCTCCAGTCAGAGTTCTCATTGACAAGGTCCAGCGCAACATCCTTGCCGACAAGCCACGAGTCACCAAGTTCCCGATCCTTTTTAATTCCCCTGGGGTGATAGCTCCTGAGCCTCAGGAGGTTTCAGATGCATTCATCTCTCCGACTACTGAGTTCGACATGATGAACACCAATGAGAAGGCTTCAGGATCACACACTCCAGCTGTTGTGTTGGACTTCACGCCAACAGTTGAGCAGGATTCAGATGCACGCGCTTCACAGCCATCCCTAATGTTCTTGATGCAAAACGGAGCTGTCAGACCAGTTAATCTATGTGCGCCTCAGGTTTTACAAGAAGTATGTTGAGAAGAGAGTCGTGTTTCAATAACTGTATAATTTGGAAAGGCTGTTGCCCTTGTGATGCTTGCACCCAGGTTAGGTCATACTCGGCATCCAAGCTCATAGGATTGCGGGAATTAGTGGGAAGTTCTGTGTGTTGATTAGCACCGTGCATCCCAAATTAGACAGCTTTACTTTCTTATTGTAGGACATGCTACACGGTGCGGGCGAAAGTGCCCATCCATCATTACATTCTGCATCAATTTAGGATAGTTTAGATGCTGGCGGAGAGATTAGTGTTTTCATTCTTTGAATTCATAGTGGAGCAATGGTAGTACTCAAATTGCTTTGTCACTATCACTGCTGTTTTACAGCCTGTACAAGTAGCCAGTGCGATTGGCATGGCGTCTCCACTTTCATCACTGAAAACTGTAAATATTTGGTTTTGGTGCACACATGCTAAATCTTAATATTATTATTGTTTTTATTAAATTTTATTTCTAACTAAAATCTTTGTATATTAATTTAATACATTTTTTGAAACTTATTATTATTATTATAAATTTAAAAGAAAGTTGAAATGTACTTAAATTACATGAATATGTCTAAAACTTATATACAATCATGTGTAAATAATATAAATATATCTATATATATATATATGTATATTTATAACCAAAAATCCAAATTTATCATTCATATAGTAAATATGACATTTTTTAATAAAAACGAAGTGAAATATCTTTTATTCCTCATAAATTATTTAATTAATTTATATTGTCAATTCTACTTCAAAGTGAATTTCAAAAAATGAAGAGAAACATTTTGTAATTTAGTAATATTTTTTGATTCATTTAATAATGTAAAAAAGAATATTTTGTATGTAAAGCAAAGTAATAACCTATAGAAGATGAAGATTGCTTAGCAATGTGTAAGGATAAAAAAATCTTCTAAAATCTATATTTATGTTAAAAAATAATCTAAGTCATTAATCACTTTATATGTTTGAAATTTATCAATAAATTGTACTTGAAGGCAAATGAAGGTAAATTTAATAATATCTTGAAAAAAAGCTTCTTAGAAGCTTTTCCATAAGATATTATCAAATTTACTTATATTTACATTCTACCTAATACTTCTTATATAAATAATTATGTATATATGTGATAGAATGTTGATAGCCATGTATCATAAGTAGTAATTGTATACTCATTTGTTTGCTTAAGTTGAAGCTAGTGTTTCACAAGTTGGACACATATTAGAGATCCTATAGAATGTCGCCATGTAACTCCTAATTAGATAGTATATGTAGAATAAGAGTGAAGCCTTCTTCACTCTTGTCAATGCTTTTCTTATTTTTAGTATTATTTCAAGAGTCTATAATCTTCTTGTCTTTGGCAATAGCTATTTTAGTTTTAATACTATAATACTTTTGAATAAATATCTATTATTTTTTTGGAGACACAAAAGTATATCAAAAAATTTATTGTTTGTAGTTCATATCCTTGACACATATTTATTATATATATATATATATATATATATATATATATTTAAAGATACATTTTATAATTAAAATTTTATTTATTTTTTAAATTTTGGAATATAAAAGTAATATTTAATAATAAAAGGATTTAAGATTGAATACTTTATCATGATTAATAATTATATTATTATAGCTAATATTATAATATTATTATTAATTTAAAAAATTATGTTAAGATTCAATCTATAGGCACATCTCAAGTTGCTATATGTATATCAAAATAAAATAAAAACTTTTGATAGGCTAATTGTTTTGTAGAGATTAACACTTGTCATTATTGCAGAGGTTTCATTGGTTGGTTAGTAGACAGGATGAAGGAGGAGCACCCTTGTGAGGATTTAATTTTAACTTTGTTTTCTTAGTCTTGAAGTAAGTTTTTTTTTTTTTTTTCTTTCCAACTCTCTATTTCATGTTCATTTTTTTTTTTTGAATATGAGTCTAATCAACACCCTTGTTGTCATTCTACTTAGTTGCTAATATAAAACTAATTACATAGAGCTTATGTAATTCTATTATTTATTATTATTCTACTATAGCTATGAAAATAATGTAGAGATGTAGTAAAGTATTTGGAACAAGGAAGATGACACAATTTGTTTGTTTCCTATAAAATTCTTATATTCCAATTTGTGATGAATGTATAATATTTGTATATTCATGTTTATAATAGAAAAAAAATCTTTGGTGATGAAATTAATTAATTACTTTACTTGGCTCACTATTATAAGCTAAGACTTTTAGAATTAATAAGGATGCTGCAAAGCCTTGTAATATAAAATGCATGTGTCTATTTGGCAACAAACAAATTTAGAGAACTGCTAGTCATGCCTTAGGACTATTGGTGCACAACTAGAGTTGTGTGCAACAATATCATTTGAGATAACATTGACAGTTTGACATGAAATAGAAGAAAGATGAAAGAAGATGAAGGGAGACTTTGCAATATATATTAAGGGCATGAATCACAAATAATAAAATCATCAATACACTATTATGTAACTAAAAAAGAATAGATATTCACTAGGAAGTATTACAATATTAAAACTTGAATGGCTATTGCCAAAAACAAGAAGACTAGAGACTCTTGAAACAACATTAAGAATAAGAGAGGTGATAATAAGAGTGAAAAAGGCTTCACTCTTGCCTCCATATATAATATCTAATTAAGAGTTACATATCAACATTCTATAAAATCTTTGACATGTGTCCAACTTGTAAGACACATGTCTAACTTGGAAGACAATTTTTTTGCATGTGTGCTACAAGGCCAACTTGTACTACAAATTGCCAACATATGCAATACGTGGCTAGCTTGTTGGCCTAGTTTTCAATCAACCAATCAACTACAAACACATATAAAATAAAATTTACATCTATAAAGCTTCTAAGAAGCTTTTCCATAAGATATTATCAAATTTACTTATATTTACATTCTACCTAATACTTCTTATATAAATAATTATGTATATATGTGATAGAATGTTGATAGCCATGTATCATAAGTAGTAATTGTATACTCATTTGTTTGCTTAAGTTGAAGCTAATATATATATATATATATATATATATATATATAAAATAAAAAAAAACCAAATATAACCAAATAAATTCAAGAAATCTTGCCAAAGCAACTATAGATATTACATTGAGGCTTAAAGAGGAACTACCAAAGTTCTATAAGCATGAAACCATGCAAGACTAGGGAGTTGGGAAAGAAGTCAAGGACTTGCTTTGAGACCAAGAGTCATTGGGAGACTAGGGAGACAAAGTTAAATTAAAACCTGGGCATGGGCACTGTGTCTTCACCATGTCTATTGATTGGACAATGAAATTGTGAAGGGGATGACAACAAGATCTCTACAATAATGGCAGTTTTTAGCCTCCTCAAAACAAGTAGCCAATTAAATGTCTTTATTTTTTTGGATGCATTTATAGCAATTTGAGATGTATGTATAGCAACTCGGAGTGTGCTTGTAACTTGAGTCTCATATTAAACTTCTATTAATACAACCTTCACTTATATTGAATACCTGTAATATTAAATATTAATATATTAAAATAGCATAATAAATTTTTTTATTTTAGAACCATTACTCGAAATAGAAAAACAAAAATTTGAAGATTAATTCTTCAATAAGCTTTGAAATTATTAATTATTAAGAATAAATAAATTAATGCTATGATTAAAATGACACATAAATAAGAATAAATAAAGAATATTTATGTGGATGTAGATATTTTTTCTATTACCAAAAATAAAAATAATCAAGGAAAAATAGTAAAAAAACTATATATATAGTTTTACATAATTTATAATGCCAATTGTAGAAATACAATAGTTGAGTTAAATTAAGTTGAAAGAAGGTTTTGCATCTAATAGATGATATCTAAATAGGTTGTATATAAGCCTTGGAAAATACTTTATTTACATTCTAGATAATAATTATTGATGGAAAATTAATGGAGTTAGTTTTTTTTTTTTTTTTTTTTTTTTTTTTTTTTTGTTTTTGTTTTTTTTTTTGTTTTGTTTTAAATAACAAAAATAATTTTTTAATAATTTTTTTTTTTTTTTAAAAATAATATATATAATTTTTTTAATAAAAAAATTAAAAATATAATACACATTTTTTCAATTGGATTTATATGCAATTTATTTCAAAATATAATAAATCTTATACTTGTAGGGCCTTATTTTTTTGTTTTTTTGTTTTTTTGTTTTGTTTTGTTTTGTTTTTTTTTAATTCAAATCTTTTATTCATGTGTTTAATATAATTAGGAAAACTCATGGAGTACCTCTACTAAGTCTAAACAAGTTTAAGGGGAAGAAAAGGAATATGAATAGTCTATAATATACGTCAAGTACTAAAAAAATAATAAGAGACAATGTTGAATATATTACAAAAATCTATTCAGACTAGTATTTGTAGAAACATGTATCCAAAAAAATCTAAGTTCTTTTTTGAAATCATTTTCAGCAAGTTAGTAGAAATATTATGAAAAGCATTATAAATAGAAAAAATAAGAATTACTTTCTTAGTAAAAATTGATTTTGATCAAAATACTATATTTATAAGATGCATGAAGAAGAAATAGAAACTTCAATAGTACATTTAGAAAATTTGTACAATACAACTAATAAATAAGAAGAGAAAAAAATATTGGCAAGGTAACAAAAACCATGTGTCTTTCATCTAACTAAGAACAAAGATCAATTTAAAATTTGTTAGTGATTAAATAACATTTTTTTATATTTATTTTTAACTATTTTAATTTATTTTTATGAAATATATACTTGTGGAAGTTTTCTAAATAAGATACTTAATTACAATGAAAACTTTATTTTATCATGGACATCTAATGCTAATCAATAAGTATGTTAAAAAACTAAACTTTTAATATCTATATGAATAACTCTATCAAAAAATCTTAACAAAATTATTGTTACAAGACTGGTTTTATTGAAATGGAATAAAAAATCAATATGATTTTTGTTATCTTCTTTGTTGCTGTTATAAAGCATTAATTCTATATAAAAAAATAATGCACATATTCAAAATAGGTTATACTTTTAGTTTTTATGTCTTTAAAGAGGTTTTGATAATTATGTAAAATTGACAACTATTTTGATAAAAATTCACTTTTGAATATTAAATTTATGTAAATTAAAAGACATGTCTATTAAAGGATATACTATCAAATTGTACAGATTGAAAATGGCTATATAATTTAATAAAAATGATAAAAGATTACATTGAAAGATTTCTTTGTGCTTTGTATAAAGTATCAAGAAATCATTTTCATAATTTTTAATTAATAAAATGTAACCAATACATGTGAATTCATCAAATTAAAATTGCAAATACTTATTCTACTTACGGGTCATTAATACCATAGGTTTCCACTTTTAAAAAGCCAATGAGACTACAAAACATTCACCAGGAAATCACGAAATATTGAAAACTAATGCAATACAGAATCAAATTCTTTGACATGATCGATGTTTACCTTTACAAAAATGTTTACATCTTCAGAAGAAGAGAAATTGTCTATTTTGAATCGTCCTAGACTATCCGGACAGTCTAAGATGTTCACGTGTGCAAAGAAGTTCATAGGATATACTGGTGACTACAACGCACATAAGCATTCTCGCACCTAGCTCATAATCCTCTTCTCTTCACAACCCCAGCCACTAACATGTAGGCTTTGTTAGCATGAACATTTACTTGATCATTTCAGGTTTAGCTCAACTAAGAAAGACAACTGCCATACGTTAATACAAACGAGGTTCTCTGGGTTTAAACGAAACCTCCAGACGAAATGAGACCTTCAAAATCTACTGAAACACATCTTCACGATCCCCCTCCGCAACATCGTTTTCCTCCAGATTGCTGAACTCCAAAAAGTGTGTCGGCCTGTGATCTTCATGATAAAATTCTCTTGGAATGGAGAGCTTGATTCCATACTTCATACCAACAGAATGTTTCACACCCATGAAATTATAATTCCACGGACCGTTATCTGGGACCTGTTCAATCACCATTCAAGAAAGTTAAAATCACTTCAATGTAAAATCCAACAAAACGTACAGCCGAGACTTCAGGTTTAAAACATGATCGAACGCAACTTACCATGTAGAATCCAAGGAATCGGTCACTCAGCAGCATCTGCACTTTCTCGTAGTGAGTTGGCAGATAACCGTGGGGATTGCTGCCACTGTCCTTATTAGCCCGACCCCATTCATACCCAGTTGGTGTCAGCTTATAAGCTGTTAATGAGCAAGAACCAGGAGTGAAACTGCAGGTTAAGATGATGCACTTTTCACCATCCCACTGCTTGTTGTTCTCCAGAACACGAGCATGACTGGTCAAGTCCTGAGGTGAGAGCTGCGGAAGCTCATTCGGCTGGGTATGAAGCCAACCAAGAGGTTCAAGCTCATTTAAGAACTCATGCTCAGGTAGACTACTAGGAAGGTGGACCTGCTGATGTGTGCCCCATTGAGGAGGCATTACAATGCACCGAATCTCCTTAACCTGTGGATTATCAGGAGGACTCACTCCGTACAAATACCCAGCAATTTGAGTCCTCAAATCAGCAATACATATAAACTTCTTCAATACATTCTTCGGCATAATGTATGTGTATCCCGACTCCTTGATGTCATCTGAGTTCACATAAATGTGGTTGACACGCAGATGGAGATTGGTAGCAGAGATAGCTCTCACTCGCCAGTCTGTCTTGGAACCAAAGGCTGCTTGTTCATAAGGACTGGTAGTTGTTACAATCAAATCATCTCCGTGTACGTTAGTTGTCTTTGTTGTAACTGCGGTCAATTGACTAGCCTCCTTCGCCTGTAAAGTAAAGCAAAACAAGTTGTTATGTGGCTTCCTTAACATTGTACATGTATCCAACATTTAAAAATGCTCCACTGAAACAAATCCTAGAATTTCAAGGAGCCCGTTACCATTAAAATTGCATACTCAAGGAACAAAATACTAACCTGTTTCTCGATCTCAGCAATCTGCTGCCGTTGTTGTGAGGGAGGCGTAATTTCAGCACCCAAAATGATGTCCCGAATCTCTGACTGTGTCAATGCAGACGTATTAACGTTATTCTTCTTCGCGTAGTCCGATAATATCAGATCTCTCAAAGCAACTTCGACCTTCATCCACTGATCATCACTCAGATTAGGCCAGATGTGGTGTGGCTCTGTCACTACAGTCTTGTCAGGCTTCAGCAACATCTTAGCCTTCTCATTGTTGACGTGAAGAGCTCGAAGAATCAAGATGAGCCTAGAGAATGCGGTATAAGATGATATAGTCTTCAGCCAGTCATCATAGATGTTGAACAAAACCATTTGCGGCTCCGTTGCTTTCAGAATTAAATCTCCAAATTTCTCAATCTTCAGACAAGCTTGGAATGGCAACTGCAATTCACTGCCCTTGATGACGATATTCGGGAAATCAAGAAGGTGAACCTCCAAAGGATCAAGCATTCCTTTCCGCGTAACAATAATCTGCTTAGGCTGTTCTTCAACTGGGAGAGAACGGACCAAAGCAGCTACTTCTTCAGCAGTCTTCCACTTCGCCAATTGTCCCAAACGTTTCTGTCCTGCCCACACACTAGTATGAATGACCTTCAAAAACAGTTGTCCTGTTCTTGGATTGAAGATAAAAATGGCACCATTAATAGGTTTTGTGGTCAAGTTTCCTTCGAAAGTCTTGTGAATTGTCACGCGATACACATTAGTATCGTCTACAAACCAGATGATCTGGTTGCTGAAAAGCTCTCCGTAATTCTGGGAAGATAAATAAGGCTCAGTGGGCTCAGATGAATACAGCTGCAACCCCTTCCTTACACGCTCCCTTAACACATAAAGTGCGGGATTAGCCTTCATGATTTTGTTGATAGCCTGTGCAAAAAGAGGCTTAGAACCAGGGAACCAATTGCCAAACGCAGCGTGTAGATTGTACGCTAAGTCCAGCCCGATCATCACGCCTGTAGGAGCTGGATATATTGACATGTTATCAGTTGTATAATCCAAGAATTTGGCTCGGGTGTAACGTTCAATATCATGAGAATCGTAATCACCCCACCGCAATTGCACATCAATCCAGTACTTGTTACTAGCCTTCTGATCAAAAACATCCTTCGGCTCTGCAACAAGACTTGGCTTGCTCATGGGCCACTTGTAAGCAGCGAACAACAGAATATCCGCACAAGAGCTGTTCATTTTATAACTCTTACGCGGGTGAATAGTTTCCTTTTGCACTGTTTCAATCTCCAAAGCATCGAGCTCTTGATCCAGGACCTGGCAAAGATCCATCACCACACTTTCGTGCACCTTTTGCCACAAATGAGCTCTAAAGATCTGAATGAGGGAAATCTTCAAGGTCGGAATCTTTCCATGCATGAAAATACCTGTAAGATCAAGCTGCACTTGGAAACCAACATACACGTTGGCTCGATTAATGGTAGGGGACCACCAAAGTGTAAAACGACGGTTTGGAATTTGGTTCAAACCAGAGCGCTGAGCATTTGTGAGCTTCTTGTACTTCATGGATTCTTCGAAACCTGATGCCTTTTCCCAGAAAAGACCTTCCCACGTAGGGAAATATGTTCCCTTAAACAAAGTGTGCTCCAAAATGCCTTCAACACCACCAAGAGCCTGAATAACATCCGTACGGTAGTTGTTTAAGTTCCACAACTTACCATCGTGCCGTTGATGAGTCCACCAGAAAGGATTCTGCTTCAATACTTGGTACTGCTTGAAGTCGGTACGCACACGCCAACCCTTATCGTAAGCCAAAGTATGACGATCCTTCTGAAACAAAGTGTTGATACGTGGTATACCCCTGTCCCAAGAATCCTCAAGATCCTCCAAAGTCAGTCTCCTGTTCTGAGCCTGAGCCTCTTGTCTCTTCAAAGCGTACTCCGCCCACACACGCTGCGAGTCGATGAACTCACTTTCCCAAGGTTGAATGTACCGGTAAAGATTGGGAATCAATTGCTCATCTTCATGACTCATACCACTTCGAAAGTGAGTGACTCCAACGTCTGTCTGCTGACTGTATCTCAAGTCACTCTGGGGAATCAAAATATGCCCCATTGACAGCATTCCAAGACCACCAATCTCCTTAGGAGTGTAAAAGATCACTGGAGGAAATCTACTAGGCATTTTAGAATTCAATCCAATCTTGATACGAGTTTGGATCTTGTTTTCACATTTGACAAGAAGATCGAGAAGCTCTTGGGTATGAACTGTAGCTTCCCTGAAGTACGTCATCAGACCAATAAGAGCAGTGTTCCACTTGTTCACAATCTTGGTGAATGTGGTAGAGCCAGATGACATAAGAATCTGTCTGACTCGATTCTCAAAGACTTTCAAGTGTTCATCGTCCACGCGAAGATAAGCCATAGCAGTTCGCTCCTTGGTTTGCTCGTTCTGCAAGTTCCATACACCATCTTTGCTGCCGAAAGCTTCTTGAGTCATCCGGATCTTTGGCAAGATGCGAACTTCAAACCCACACATGCTAAACAGCAAGTTCGGATTGTCTTTGCTATAGACTGAAACAAAAGAGTTCTCCCATTCCAAAGTAGTGATGCTGCGAGGAAGCCGGTTCTTAATGTCCCAGAACACACTTCTTCCAAGGTTTACATCGTGCTTCATGAGACGCATACGAGCATCTCTGGGCCAGCACTTCTTATTGTTATAACCCACAATGTTCTCATTGTTCGGATCTGGATGTTCAGTCAGGTAACGCTGAATAAGGTCTCTGGCTTCTTCATGAGTGAAACGGAAGAGTATGTGAACTTTGTCTATGTAACGCGAATATAGGCGGATGGGATGACGAGTCTCCACCTTCACGTCCCAGAAAGTTATGAACTCGTTTGGCATTTGCGGAGGTCCCGCTATTTCACTAGCACGTGTGAGACCCAACACTAGCAGATCCAGCACCAGCCCATAATACTGGACAACAAAGGAGGCAAACTGAAGCCCCTGAAGTAGCCCGTAGGAATTCGTATGACTCATGTCCTTGTAAGATAGAACCACGTTGTTCTTTGCCGTTACATAGTCAGCAATGTTATGGTCAAGGACCAACCGTAGAAGTCTGTTCAGCATCGTCAAATCAATTTTGTCGAAGAACTTCTCGAACTTGGTCTGCAACATAACAACGCACTGCCCTTCACTGGTGTCCCATATGTCCTGCAAATTGTTGATACCTTGGCACCACTTGTAAACCAGCAAGGGAGGAGGTTCCGAGTCAGCAGGCTTGATCCAATTGGGGAACAAGTGTCTTTTATCTCCCTCATACCATAAATACTGATCAAGGTAGGCATCAGTGATCTTTTCCAATGGCTCAATCTCATATACAGGAATGAGATGGCTATAGAGATCCATGAACTCGATTCCGACCTCCTTGAAGGCTCTTTGTGTAAGCAAGTGCCGCTTAATACGAGACAGGGCCTCATGTGGATTATCATAAGCCTGCTCTATCAGCCCAAGCTCCTCCCTTTGCTGCTGATTCAAACGAACTGCTACACTGTAAGACTCTTTAAGACGCTCCAAGGCAAGGATAAGGAGCTTCGTGTCATGCTTGTATGAAAGGGGAGGAAAAGGAATGGGAGAAAACTTGCGGGATTCAAGCCAATGTACGGTTGTGGTATAAATAGCCACCGCTTCCTCAGGTGTGACATAAGGCCCATCCTTCAGATAATTATGCTGACGCTCTTGTTCTGCCTTCAACCAAAGACGAGTTAGACGACCGAGATTCTTCCGGCAAACAGTTTTGTCCACTGTGGCACCTCGCCGAATTCGCTCTCGGTTGTAATGAGCGACATTAGTCCACCAATCCGCCTTCGACTTCACGTAGCGCAGAATCATGTTCTCAATTGGCACTGGGAGCCCAGGAACTTTCCAGGGAATGTTGGCCTTCCAGCAACGCCAAGCTTCACTCAGATGCTGAAGAATGGTACGAGCCTTATTCTGCTTGATACCTTCTGGCATAGCATCTAAGACATCGTGCATGACTGCTGCCCTAAGTTCCAAGTCAAAATGGCTCTCCACCCGTTGCTTAGTAACAGTCTTAGCAACTCCTTTGGAATGACGACCTTCAAATTGTCGGGCAAGGAGATTTCCCAACCATCTCTCCAAGAGAGGGACGACACCTCTAAGGAAGAACAACCAAACGCGCCACATGGGTGCCCAGAATCCACAGCCAGGGCCCTTACCAACAGGTCCGGTATTGAACCGGTAATAGATCAAATGCTTCAAATCCTTGCACATTCGAATCTGTCTCATTAGCCTATATTTGTAACGATACATACCAGTCAATTGACCAACATGCGAGAATGTATATTGTAGGCCATCTGCAAGTTGGTAAGCGTCAACATTTCCTAATCGAAATTGGATATTTGCGTCCACAACCAGCTTGGTGAGGCGTAAAATCTCCCGGCAAAGATGGAATGCATTTCCAAAACGGGACTTCTTCCTCTCCTTAGTTGTTAGAGTCTTCACAGGCTTGAGATTAAAATTGTAATCTAAATGCAGATAGTTGAGATTCTTTCTGTGAATCAGAAGATTCAACATATTATAACCTTGCTTACATACTTGTAAACCTGCTTCGGCCCAGTCCAATTCTGTCGTCTGGAAGAACTTGGTTGCACGCAACGAACGGAATAAATATTTCTTCTTTTGACCCTTCGGCGGCCGATGATGAAGCTCATTCAGCACATAACACTTTAAGAGCTTTTGATAACTTACACGAACCTTCACTGGGTAGGTCGGAGGACAGTGCTCTTTGTACCAATCAGACACTAGGGGGATGTCCTCAGCACGCCTCATCCGACCTGACCGCATGTTGAAAGGGCGGGGAGCAAATAACAAAGCAATTCCTGCAGCAGTAGTGTCAGTGTATTGTGGAATATCCTGAATCAAAGGCTCCACTCCTTCTGGCAAGACGAAATCGTCTTCATCTTCTTCTTCCTGAAATCCTTTCCTCTCGCCACGCTTGTCTGTTTTGTAGAAAGCAATTGGATGGATCAATGGATCAAAATAAAATGCAGGCAAATCTGGATCTTCCGACTTGATGTACATAACCATAGGAGTGTGATATACGCCCAGCTTCACTTTGCGAGGGCGATTATTATATAAGTGAGGAAACGCAATCCTGTATTCCGTACGCAATGGAGAGCGAATAATAAGCTTATTGATATCATTGAACTCATTCCAATCTTCATCTCCCTTCTCCATATCCCGGTATAAAGGCTCGAACTTGGGACCACCTGGGATGCACAGATTGAGTGCCTTGGCAGTGAAAAATGACTCCATATCAAACAGATAGAAGTAGTTTCTATCTATCAAGTCACTCAGCAGCTGCCCAGCAAGACGGTGAAGAGCGGCCATGATAGGTAATGACAGATGCCAACGCCTGTAACTGGGTCCATTGATCAACTTTGTCTTCACAAGAGGCTTGTAATCATAGAACCATTCATATACAGCGGAGTCTTCTTCTTCGTCAAGCTCTAGCTGAATAGGTTCGAGGGGCTCAACATCCAGCAGGTTATCAGCGTAATCCAAAGGGGGTTCCTCATCGTCGAAAGGAGGGAAACGCATACGCTTAAAGTGGCGTCTGTCCCTCTTCTCTCGCCTCATCATGATCCACATAGTACCCCACTACAAAATAAAAATAAACTTCAGCCAGCTAAAATCATCTCCAAGAATACTAATCCACAAAATGCCAAAAACATGCTTTGGAAAAACTCCCATACCAACCCAACAATAAGTGAATAAATAAATAACGCCTTCAATCATTATAGTGTCTAAAGACGTCCTAGACACAGGCAATATATGGAAAAGACAGTAGAATTTTCTCGGAGGAGAGTCTTACTTGAGCAAGAAAAATAGGTTCCACTACCCACGGAATCTCATCAACGAATGTGATGGCACCAGTAATGTGATAGAGCACCCTAACATCTCGAACCTGCTCCCATGGCATTGGCATGTTCTCCAACAGCTTATACACGGCATGAGGCACAAACTTTAAAGCTCCCAAATACACCCGCTTATCATGACGGTACTTCTTCGAAGACATGTCACCATGGTCCCTATGATCACGTGAAGGAACACACCGTAAGTTTGCGAAAAAAAACTAGGAACGGTGCAAATAATATCGTTCTGCTCAAAGAGACATTAATTTATCTGTCTATGCAACCAAGAAAAGAAACCATCTAGTATAACATTAATGTATAAGATCCTGCTTCTCTGAAGAAGAAGCATCCTCGACAAAAAAAAATACAAAAAAATACAAAAATAAACAAAGCATGATCAAACCCTAACCGAATCGATATCGACTGTAACATCTCGAAATAAGAGCAATCTATACTCATGATAATCAAATAAATGAATTCATAACGATATAAACCCCCACAATATTTCAGCTCAAATCCCTGACCAATTTCAATACCACACCTGATAATCTTGCGTACGTGCTCTGGAGGCATATCTTCCTTCTGCGTCTCCACAAAACCAAACTTGCGCTTCTCGCCGTATCGCTTAGCATTCAACTGGTGCCACTTCCTGGCCTTCTCATCCAACCGCGCCTCAGCATCAGCTGCAGTTGAAGCGGATGCCGGCGGTGGTGGCGCCATCGGTGGCGCCTGCGGGTCCATCATGATAACTTCACCCTGAGTTCCTCACCTAGAAAATTCTTCTATCCAAATCAACGCCTCGAGTCAACAATAGCCCCGCGTTCCTTCGTTCCTCCCATGTAAACAAAGGTCCGCCTACGTAACCCGTGACTCTCAAATCATACTCTAACCTTAAGAAGCTGAAACCCTACCCGGCTGTGAGACTTGAGCAAAACACTGCCCCAACACTCGAATGCTAGGCAGGAAAGCTTTTCCGAGAGGCCGATCGAAACGCGAGTGAAAAAAGAAGGGTATTAAAAGGAGAACCATGATCTAGACACGGAGGCGGCATCCCGTGGAAGCAACAAGGGAAGGAGAGAGAGAGGCACCGACATAGTCATGGCCGAGAGAAGAGCGGGAATGCGGTGGGAGCAAGGCCAGGCGTCACTCACCCTAACAAACAGGGAGAAACCAACATCGAGACTCCTAAGCCCTAATGGGGGACTTAGTTCGGGGTCGAATTCCGGTGGTGCTTTCTCTGTTGGCTGGCTGCCACTTTAGAAAGTCTGTGTCGGAGTCGGTTTCTCTCCTCTCCCTTGTGAACCCAACCCTCCTTTCTCGCTCACGCTCTCCCTCCGTCTCCTTACTCTTCCTTGCATGTAAGTGCCGTTGAAGGGGAGCAGACCCCGTCCATTAACGATTCCCACCCAACACACTCTCCCCCGTTTCCCTTCACTTCCCTCACTCTCCACACAGCCCTTCCCTCTCTCCCTTCCTCCTGATCTGATGGCTCCCCTTCAATCCACACATTCCTACCCACCATGTCCTCCTGCACACGTTCAAAGCCTAAAACCAACAAGGAATTCTTGCACTATCCAGAACTAGAAATCATAATTATCCAATAATTTCACACTAGTATTCATACAGCAAGACATAATTCTACTACCAATACAATTCTTTCTATTTATCTAAGATTTTCTACACTAATTAATCCTAAATTATATTTTTTTGGCACTAGATTTTTTGTATCTAAATTCACAAGTAAATTTTTTGTCCTAAATTCACAAGTGAGTTATTTTCCTAATTCATAAGATGTAAAAGAGTGAATTTTCCAGTAGGATTAGAAGTACATCTATTAAACAAGCCAATCTATAAGAGGGACCAAGAAAGTTTTGCTATATAAGCAAGAAGCTCACACATAATGACAAGCATTACTGATTTATTTCTAACAACTAGTAGTGAATTCATGTAACTAAAACCTCAAGTGTCTAAGACCACCTAATCTACACAAAGTTACAAATCATGCAAGTGGATTCAGTCTAAGACCAAATGAATAATTCATGTATCATAAACCATGAGATAGATGGTAGAATTTCTCAAAAATGCATTTATATAATCAATTTCTAATCAATATGGAGTAAAAGAACAAAAAATCAAATCACTATGTTAGTAATGTAGAAATCAAATGATTGGATGAGCCTAAAAACCCAATAGACATGGCTGATATAATTTGGGTGCAGTGCCAAAATACATGACTTTTGTTTAATATAAGAAGAAATTAGGGTGCACAAATCTTACAAGGTCTATATTAAGATTGGAATATAGAAGAGTAGATCAAAAATTTAATGATTGGAGCCCTCAAAAAGGATCAATTGAAGGAAGCTAAAGAATAGAAAGCAAAAGAAAAGGCTCTAAGTCAAGTAAGTTCTATACATGAAAATATTCTTAAAAAAGAACTTTTGAAGAATTACAAGAAATAATTCTCAAACTTGGATGCTTTGAACTATACCATCAAGACAAACCACCCAATATATGAAAAATCTTTAGAAAGAAGTTTTAGTAAACATAAGGAATAATTTATAAAGGTGATAAGAAGACAAATATTAAACAATTCCATTACTAGCTTGCTTATACAACTACTAAATATGGCTTCAAACATTATGGATTATGTCAAGGCTTATATATTTCCAAAATAAAAGACTAATATAAGTTTGAATTTAGACCTAATGCAAACAACAAAGTTTAAAGCAAGTTTGTTAGGTAAGAAAAAATAGTGATTAATTTGGCAATAGATGTTAACCAAGAACTAAATGTATTATCAATGCAGGATGGCAACAAGACCTAGAACAACATGTTGTTTGATGGTGAGTCAAGTGTTAATTTGATCACTAAAAGGATCAATTAAAATGATCTATAATGAAAAGATTTATATACATGATATTTATTACCTAATCACTTTGATTGTAATTAAGAAAAAAGAGGTAAATGAGGCATATAATATGCTATTAGATTATCCTTGGTTGATTGATGTAAAGATTAACCAAAATTGGAACAACAACTTGGTGACCATCTATGGCAACAAAACAATAAAAATTGTCTTAATTAGCCAAAAGAAGAGGCTTGAGCCTAAGTTATCAGAGATACTCGTGTGTTACAACTTTGTTGTAGGATTCATAGATGAAGAAGAAGAATTTTGTTAACTATCAAATAAGACAAGTTGGTTAGTGGAACAATAACAATGTCCTCAATGGGTAGAAACCAAGAGCCAATGGAGGAAGTAGAATAGACCTATCCAAACCAATTCTATATTTTTACACAAGGAGATATGTGATACTTGAATCCTAATCTTTCTTGTTATTTTACCTCATATTTTTATTTTTGTTGTATTTTTATTTTATTTAAGTAGCAGTGATAAACATTAAGTTGGAAGTTTAATAGAAAAAATAGATTAAATGGTTTATGTAGACTACATTAGGGTGTACTAATAAGAACATAGAATCAATGTGGATTCCATTGATTAGGCATTAGCGATTAAAGAAGGTAACAAGCCTCTATGTAAAAAATGCCAAGAAACAACGTACAATATCTACATAAGCAACATACCTTGAGGACAACGACCAATAGACAAGATAGATTGCAAAGCAAGAAACCATGATGAACACCTCAAACACATCCATCTTGTTTGAGTGGTTCATCAAAGAGAAAGTGGAGAAGGTAGATTGCTTGATGTCGTCATTTTAATAAGAAAATCGTAAGTCATTCAAATCTTTATTAAAGAGTTGTTCACTTTGAAGGAGATAATTTCAACGCTAATATTATGAATTAATGAACTGCCAAATTAAAGAAGGCAAGGAGAGAAAAAAATTTCAAGGACAAGAAAGTTTTATAGAAGTAAATGAAGATTAAAGCAAAAGAAAAAATAGAAATGTTTCTACTATTGCTGACAAATATTAGCTCGTCACTGATTACAACTACCATCAACATACTGAATTATTGTGACACAACTCTAGAGGTTAAAGAGCCTTGCTTGAGTATGCAAGTTAGGTGTACAATTGGTCTAGAGAATGTGTTGCAAGATGCAAAGTTATCAAATGTTGATCAAAACAAGATGATTCTTGAGGTGGTTTGATAAAAACACTTGCAATGTAGGAATAGAAGAAGGTCACACAAAAGACTCTAAATACAATATTATCCACTATAGCCCATAGTAATATGATTAGAAGGTGAGAGCAACATTGCCCTATAAGATGAAGCTCCCCTACATTTGGGCTCAAAGACGCTATAGCTTATGAAAACAAATAACACTCCAAACAACATAACATCCTCAACATTGGAAACAAAAGTACACTTGATTGTTGCCAATAGCCCAATAAGTATGGAGATCAATGTATTGCAAGGACATACAAGTTCAAAAGAACAAAGTTATCAAGAACTCCTAATTGTAAAACAAACCACCAACTTCCAAAGAAATATCATGTTATTGTAGTAACAAATATATCATAGAATATAAAAATGTAAGCTAAATTTAATCTATTAGATAGTTCAACATAGAAGAATCCTATTAAACTTGAATATGCTTCATTTTTTGTTTATTCAATATTCTAATTAACTTACATCTATAGAGTCACAATGCAAAAGACATTGTTTCAAATAAACAATCAACTTTAATTTTTATGCTAATTATAAAGAGGGTCCGACTAAAATAATTACCAATATTTAAAAAATGTGAGTGAAAGAAAATTAAGTAAAAAAAAATAATTACTTTCTTGTTCAAAATCTAGCCATTGTTTTAGAAAGCGCTTAATTCTAACTCTAGCAATAAATGAAAAACCTATTCCAAAATCCAAATATCTATCCTATGAAAATATAAATTTGACTTTGGTACTTACAATAATTTGAACTCAAATATCTAATCTAATGCACTTCAATCAAGCCTTTAAAACTTAGTGGTTTTGTCCAATCTAAAGACTGGTAATTTTTATATAAAAAAATCAAAAAATCAAAAAATAAAACAAACAAAACCGAAATATAAGATCATAACTAAATTAGCACTAAGAAAATAATGTTATTAAAACTAAAACAATCTATCCACAAAACTTGCATTTCTTATCAATTCTTACATGTCCGATTAATAAATTATATCCACATATCATACTTCTCTCATTTTCATATGCGATTGTAGGTGGACACCTATTTCCAACAAGTTTTGTGATACTTTATTGACAAATTCTAAACAAGATAAAGCTTGTGTGTGCATAATGTACATATATACACAATAAATTTTCAATGGCATGTTACAATTTTATATATATATATATATATATATATATCTTCTACTTTTCTAACTTTAAATCATTTTATTATGTGGTATTAAGAATATGCTCTATAAATGATATTAATAGCTATATACCTCCTATTAAGAATATGCTCTATAAATGATATTAATAGCTATATACCTCCTCAATTTTTCCATGCACATATCAAAACAATTAGAAATGTAATGGTGCTAACAATTAGTAGGCTTTTGAGCTCTATTATATGTCTCATAAATATATATATCTATAATTATATTTAATGCACATAAACTTTACTACTTTATCTTGTACAAAAATATTTCAACAACTTCTAACAAGATTCCATTAAAAATCCCAATGCATAACTTTGTAGAATTTTCAATTAAAACTAGATGATCTAATTCACTACAAAATAAAATAAAAAGTTGGATTTAGTTGGGAGCCTTGGAAATAAAACATAGCAGTTTCTTTTAATGAAATGAATCATCCAAGGCTATGCTTGTACTCAACAGACATGCAACAGTACTCCCTCCCTCATATCTACAAGACAAAATGAACAAAGAACACCATACTCCTTCAACAAACATATACAAAACTTTAGAACACATCGCTTGAACATACATACTAGCCAAAAAAAAATGCCAATTATTGTTGAAGAAGTGATGAACTTCAAAATGATCATAAAAATGATGTAGTGGTAAGAGCCTTCAATTACACACTTGACATGTCAACAATACTCCACAACAATCACTTAAACATCCTCCCCCTTCATCTTCATGATTGCAACATCACCTACTGATTTCAATGATATGAATGATATGGAATACCAATATCTTAAACAATTCAATCATTGTGAATAAGGTTCCAAATACACAAGCTAATGTTTGAATGTGGTACAGAACTCCTTTGTAGTAGCATTAACAAGGTGATCCACCGACCACTACAAAAGCGCCAAGTCTAAAGAATAAGATACTATTCTTGTGGTGATAGCCACCTCTCTGGTGAACTGGATACACCTAAAAGAGTGACGAGACTGAGTGGTACCACAGCATTGTTTTGCCGTACCCCCTGACTGACCATACATTTGTATTCTGGCATTTCACAACT